TTTTTTGGTGTTTGTAACAATAATGTTAATTAAAAGACAAATGGCTGCAATCAATTGGCCTAAGTTCACCAAAGTCCATTTAAGGGAGGCTCAAGCCCGCTTGAAACGTTGATCTTCTTAGCCAAAGACTTTTGGATAGCGTTTTAAAAATGAAAAAAGGAAAATGTGAGTGACATGAGTTATATTTTATTTATTTATTTTCTTTTATTTTTAAATATTTTCTAAAATTCTTATATAAATTTTTGATCTAGACACTGGCTAAGATTAGTTTAAAATGATCTATTATTTCCAGGCAAGAGAGGGGTTCTATAAGAAAATATAAGGGGGAATTACACATAAATGAGGAGGCAAAAAAATATTTATAAAAAAGTAAATTTTTTTAAAATTTTAATTATTAATATTTATAATGTTTATCACTTTCTTATAAATATTTTTTTTCCCTTCCAATTTATATGTAATTCCCCTAAAATATAATTGTAAATTGTATTTTTTTTCTCCGTCACAAGGAAAATTCTATGGTACATACCTTTTGTTATGATCTTTGTATTATTAGTGATGAAATATTATGATATGAGTAAATTACAAATACACTCTATGAGATTTGCTTGAAGTACAGATTGCCTCATGTGATTTAGAAAATTACAAATATCTCATTGCCAAAAAATTTTATTTAATAGAATTAACTAAAAAAATAAAATTTATAATTGTTCTCCTATACAATAATAAAATTACTTAAATTATTAATTGAAACATATTTTTAATATCATTAAAAACTGTTAATTGACTTTATGATTTATTAATAAAAATGGGCGATTTGTTATGAAATTAGAAATCTCAGGAGTAAGAATGTAATTTTCAAAACTACAGGGAGTGATTCATATTTTAATCAAATTTCAAGGGGTATATTTGTAATTTATCCTTATGAAAGGATATTGATTATGACATTATTTTGGTTATGATGCTAGAGTTGTTTGGCTATACTTTAGTGATATTTAGTTATAACTCAATTTTTTTTTTATTTTAATTATGACTCCCATAATATTTAATTATATTATTTGTGATAATCAAAATTTACAAATGCCGAACTTACATCCTAAAATGGTCTATTATTTCTATTCAAGCAGGAAATCTATAAGAAAATATAATTATAAATTGTACTTTTTTTTCTCCATCACAAACACAGCCTTGATTGGCCTATTATTACAGGAAATGTATAAGAAAATACAATTGCAAGTTTTTACTTTTTTTCCACCTCACATAGCTTTCTAGGTAAATTTCCAACACGCTCACTCTGAATGACTTTTTTAAGTGTGAAATTTCCAAAATTTCTTTGCCGTAACGCAATTCAGCTTCAATGGGTCAAGGTCAAATCAATACTAACTTTATTACTATTTTGGTGTAGAGGGTCAGAAATAAGTTTGGTGTGCACCTTTTCACTTAAACAGTGGTACCTGTTCGGATCAATTTTGGTTGCCTATAAATACAAACTTTTTCAGCAGTTTTGGATATCCGGAAATTAGTGATAATTTGTTCCTTTTTGTTTGTCCAGATTTTATCTTACATTTTGATCTTCATTCTAGTTTAGGAAAAATTTAAAGAGAGTATTAGAACACAAGGTTTGGTTCGCCGAACAAATTTATTTGAAGTGCTTCTATAAATTTGTGAAGATCATTGTATCCTGGGAGATAGACGCCACTCAACCGTAAGTACCATAGCGGGGCGAATCTGTCTTAAGGACAGAGTGTCACACACTCGACTTGGTCTTGTAATTTTATTTGGTTCGACAAAATAAATCCGGTATGTTATTTATTTATTTTGTTTGAATTTATTTCTAGTTATTTTATTTACTCAGAAGATTGTTCCAACACTTAGTGTAGGTAACAATAAGCTAGTCGGAAAATTTCCTAAAGAGCTTACTTCCTTGTCGAAGCTCACGTATCTTGTCATTCAAGCGAACAATTTGACGGGAGGCATTTCTTCATTCATTGGGAATCTTACTTCTCTAGAAGTCATTTCTGCTGCTAAAAATCCTTTTGGCGGAAGCATTCCAGATACGTTGGGTCAATTGAAAAATCTAAGACAACTTGGATTGGGTGGCAATCAACTTTCCGGTATGATACCCTCTTCTATTTACAACCTCTCTTTCATAACTGTTTTTTCTGTGGCTAGTAATCAACTTCGTGGTAGTCTTCCATCAAGTTTTGGTTTCAAGTTCCATCATCTGCAACTCCTTCAATTACAAATGAACCAATTTACCGGACCCCTTCCACTTTCAATATCCAATTTTTCAGAACTGGAACAGATTCAAGTAGAATATAACAGCTTCAACGGAAAAATAACAAACAATTTTGGAAACCTAAAGAAGCTCAAAAAGATAGGTCTGTTTCGTAACAATTTCGGAAGTGGGGAACCTGATGAACTAGCTTTTCTTGGTTCTTTGGCCAACTGCAGCAATTTGATGTTGTTGGGTATGGAGGTAAACCGATTTAGAGGGGTATTACCAGCTTCTGTTGGCAACTTGTCAAGCCATCTCTTTTCCTTTATATTTGGAAGAAATCAAATATATGGAACTATTCCTTCAACAATAGGTAACCTTGTCAACTTAACTGTGTTAAGTATGGGAAATAACCAACTCACAGGCACAATTGCAACTAACATTGGTAATCTTCAGAAGTTGCAAAGGTTGTCTTTCGCAATAAATCACCTCTCGGGTAAAATTCCAGATTCTATGGGGAACCTATCGTTGCTGAATGAACTTTACATGGCAAATAACAGACTAGAGGGGACTATACCCTCGAGTCTTGGTAACTGCCAAAATTTGTTGTCATTGCGCCTTGATCAAAATAACCTGAGTGGTACCATTCCCAGAGAACTATTGAGAGTCTCGTCTTTATCAATTTCATTAAATCTAGCTCGGAACCATTTGTTTGGTTCCTTGTCAACAGAGGTTGGAAATCTCAAAAATTTAGGGGAACTAGATATCTCCGAGGATAGGTTATCCGGTGAAATTCCTAGCAGTCTTGGCAGCTGCAGCAGCCTTGAAAGCCTGTATTTGCAGGAAAATTCCTTTCAGGGATCTATTCCTCTACAATTGGAATCTTTGAGGGGTATTCAAAACATTGATCTTTCTCAAAACAACTTGTCTGGAAAAATTCCAACGTTCTTGGAGAAATTTTCACTAATGAATCTCAATTTGTCCTTCAATGATTTTGAGGGTGATTTACCAATGAGGGGAGTTTTCACAAATGCGAGTGCAATATCGATTGCTGGAAATTATAGGCTTTGTGGCGGTATTCTTGAACTACACCTACCCCGCTGCACCCCCAAAAAATCAAAGCCTAAGATGCCTCTTTCACATATAATAGCAATCACAACAGCTTCTGTACTTGTTGGAGTAACCATGGTATCATTTTCCATAATTTGTTGGTTCAAAAAGAGAAGAAAAACTCAGTCTACAGTTTCATCGTCGAAAGAATCATTCTGGAAAGTCTCTTACGGAAATCTTCTCAAAGCAACAGATGGTTTCTCTAAAGCGAATCTGATTGGTTTTGGTAGTTCTGGCTCTGTATATAAAGGACTTCTTGATCACGATGGGGAGTTAGTTGTTGCTATCAAAGTACTTAACCTTCAAAATCGTGGAGCTACAAAGAGTTTCCTAGCAGAGTGCGAAACCTTAAGAAATATTCGGCACCGAAACTTAGTCAAGATCATAACTTCTTGTTCTAGTGTTGATTTTCAAGGAAATGAGTTTAAAGCTCTGGTTTACGAGTTCATGCCTAATGGGAATCTAGAGAGGTGGTTGCATTCAAGTCCAGAAATTAATAACGAGCAAAATGAGCTCCAAAGACTCAATCTTTTGCAAAGAATAAACATTGCCATTGATGTGGCTTATGCACTTGATTATCTTCATCACCATTGTCAAACACCGATCATTCATTGTGATTTGAAGCCGAGCAATATCCTTCTTGACAATGACATGGTTGCTCATATTGGAGATTTCGGTCTAGCAAAATTTTGCTCAGAGTTCATTATTCCAAATCAAAGTAGTTCAATCGGAGTAAGGGGAACCATTGGATATGCAGCCCCAGGTAACAAAATAGCTCTTTACCCTTCTACTCTGAATGTTAAATGGGTACTAATCCAATCGTATCATTTTTATTTTCGAGCAAAAAGGATCATAGCTTGTTTTGAATGTGAATTTTTTAAATGGCAGAGTATGGTCTCGGAAGTGAGATGTCAACTTACGGAGATGTCTATAGTTATGGGATCTTGTTACTGGAGATGATAACAGGAAAGAGACCGACTGACAGCATGTTTGAAGAAGGCCTCAACATTCATAGCTTTGCTAAGATGGCCTTACCTCAGCGCATGATGGAGATTGTAGACCCAGTGTTCCTAAATAATGAAAAAGAAGAGGAAAGAGCAATAGAAATGGCTGCTGCTACTGCTACCAATAAAACTTGGGAACCGATTCAAGTGAACAATGGTGATAAAATGGTGGAATGTCTGATTTCCATGGTCAAGATTGGAGTGGCGTGCTCTATAGATTCACCACAGGATCGAATGAGCTCAAGTAGTATCCTCCATGAGCTTCATCTGGTCAAGCACAAGCTTCTACAAAAACGAATTTCTGACTAGGTACGAAATTAATGTTCTTGCTAAACATTTTTAACTTCTTTCCTTTGTAGAATTTAATCCACTTTGATGGACATTTTTGCTTTAAAATAATAAAATCAACACTTGCAGTGACATTTTGTATTAAACTTCTGTTCAATTTTTTTTGCTTCTATATAGCATTACTCTAAGAATGTTGGCCACCGTGTCCTTGTGTAGGTATTCTAGAAAACTCATTTTGATTTATGGTGATTTAAATAATTCTTAAATTATACTTATGCCCTTGGCATCTCCTTTTTGGTCTTAGGTAACTAATTACAGTACAATGAAGCTTGATGCTTGTCAAAGCAGAAGGGAAGAGGATTATGCTTGTACTTATATTCAAACTAGGAACCTATTATGTTGCAAATTCTATAAATAATTTGATCACCAAATTATTTTCCATTTAGTCCATATGAGAATGATATCTAATATCCTACTGTGATACGAGTTGTTTGATCGTTAACGCCTGATGGTTGTGTAGCACCACTTTGTAATATGAGGTTGTGAGTTCAACTCCTATGGCAAGGAATTTGATATCTTTGTAGTTTTTATTTCTCCCCTATTATCGGGGTTAATATATAGTTGCTTGTCTCTTCCCTGGTTTGGGATTGGTGTATTGTTGGATGGATTATGGTTGTTGGGCATTGTCTATTGTTAGACTTCAATTGTCTAATTCGATGTAATACTTGTCTTATTTGTAATTGTTAGCAGGTATTTTAATATTATATTGTGATATTGGTTTCCATCAGGTCTTCCTAGTCTTCCAAGACTTTTCCATCCAAGTCTTGGTCTTGTCCTTCCATTCTTTCCATCCAAGCCTTCCAAGCTAAGGCTTTGCCAAAGTCTTCCAAGAGTCCACCAAGCCTTTATCCTTCCAAGACTTCCAAGTCTAAGTCTTCCAAGCACTACAAGAAATTACACTTTTGGCGACTAAATTTTTAGTCACCAAAAGTCCTATTTGTAGTCGCCAAAAGGTTTTCCCGACTAAATAGTTTGGTCGCCAACTTGGTCGTTAAAAGACGGTCGGTGAAGGTATTGGCGACCAAAAAAAATTTAGTCGCCAAAAGTCTTAAATTGGCTACTAAACAAGTAGTCGCCAAAAGTAAAAACTATTGGCGACAAAAAAAACTTTTGTCGCTGAAAGGGTAAATTGGCGACTAATTTTTTAGTCGCCAAAAGCTTACAATTAAATTTAACATCACATTTTCAGCTACTAAAATTTTTGTCGCCAAAACTTTTTTTTTTTTTTTTTTGATTTCTATATATATTAACTTATGTCCTATCTTTAGAGACACATAAGAGAGAAGAAGTTTTGGTTGTGTTGTTATATCTTGAGTGAGATTATCAGGCAAATAAAAAGGGTGTGTGTGATAAAGTTTTGGGTTTAACCAATTGTGCAGTATTGGTGAACCATACGACTTAGTCGGGCTGTTGTTTCCTGGGGGGGACAAGTCAAGGTTTTTCTGCTGCACCGGTGTGAGGCTTTGCCTAACCGCAGAGGGCTTGAATCTTCTTAAAGAGAGCGAGTTTCCCGCGCCTCAGCCCTAATAATAAGTTATTGTAATTTTATTATTTGTATTTTCTGGTGTGTTATTTGTAATTATCACCAACATTAATTAATCTCCTGCCGACTGACAAAAAGAATTAATAAAAAGAAGTTTTTAATGAAGAAATCAATGGAAAACCACGTTACAATTAGCCTAGGACGACATGAAAGGGACAAGCTTTTGCTGGTCCAAAGATTTCTAAGCTAAGAAAGCCTAATATTGGCTAACCCTTTATGTTTTGATTGATTCGAAGTACTAAATCAACCGGAAACAAAAGTGTCTTATGAGTTCGATTAGACTTGATAAACATTCGAGCATTAGCAACATAATATTTCAGTATAGAAGCCTCAATAATTAACAATAATACAAGATAAAAATAATAGAACTAACAGCCACATGTCTTCCTCAATCCCACTCAAATGTGAAATCCATTACTTTAAAGCCTAACACTTCATAAAATCAATTTCAACAAGATTTAGCATAGACTTGCAACAGTGAGACGAGCAGACAGCTCATTCATTAACAATAATATAAGATAAAAAGAATAAAACTAACAACCATGCACAAGTGTTCCTCAAATCCCACATAATTTATTCAATGGATGATCAGATCTTCATGTTATGTAGTCCATAACACAACTCAAATTACCCATGATGGAGACAAAAATGCAACATACATTATTCTCATAAATTAGTCTAATAACAAATTTCTCTCATTCAAAATCCTAACAATACTATAAGACAGATTATAGACTAGGGAGTAACCAAACCTCTTATGATCTCATTAATCAATGCCTCATCTATAGAAAGGATTAATATGACAAACAACAACCTCAATGGTAAAATATCCTTTAATATTGGAAATCTTGAACATTTCATTGACATGATTGTAATTTGTATGGAACAATAATTGTGGAAGTGGGGAGCCTAGTTCCATCCCAGCTTGCACATTGATCTACAGTATCATGAAATTTTTCCTAACACGCCCTATGATCCACAAGTTTGTGTTTCTTGACTATTTTTCTTATACCGTTTCTCGATGGGCAAAACTATAGGACCACGAAGTTCAAAAGCAGCCAGAAAGAGTTAAAACTAATGCTAGAGACTAGAGTACAAGCAAGATGGCCATGTTATTGTTGGGGTAGTGTGGATACTGATAAATACTAATCACTAACCAATTGATCGGTACTTTTGTAATTCTGCACTTGTACCATGTTGTCCTAATTTCTATATGTATTTGTAGTTGAGTTGAGGGGAGACGGCTATTTTTGCATCTTGTAATTCTCTTATTATAGTGAAAACAACAACAGCCGTGGATGTAACCCTAGTTTTGGGGTGAACAACGTAAATCTCTATGTTCTTCGTGTATGTTTGATTTATCGTTTCTTATTATTCCTGTTTGTCTTTCATGTCTCCCCAATCCTGATTAGGTGTATCAATTTCTAACAATTATGATCTTAGTCTGAAATAGTTGTGGATGCTCCTACAACTATTATCCTGTATGGTTAAAAAAGACTTAAATTATTTCCCAATACGAAAACATTACCATTTGGTTTCTACATAATTTCGAAATTCCTGAATTACAAAAGGGGAACTTGTGTTTCTCAGTTGGCGGGATTTTTCTTCTCTACTCTGCCGCCGGTCTCTTCTTCTTGCCTCCGTCCTGGGCGGCCCTTGACGGTGTTGCCTCCGTGTTTCCCCCTCCACTGGGCACGATCACTACTCCCTGCTCCTCAACTGAAGCATATGGAGGACCTCCAAATCGGAACATCACGGTGGCCTTCCGCTTCAGCTCCTTATTTTCCGCCTTTAGCACACTTATCTCTGCTCGCGCATCCTTATACATGCGCTGGAGCAGAGCCAGTTGGGCGTTTAACTGCTGCACCTCATTTGTCCTACTTTGAAGCCGGTGCAACAAGTTTGTGACTGCCGTCATCGTCTCCACGCATGACTTCAAAGTATACTGATTGGCCTCAATATCAGTTTGCACCGCCATTTTTTGCTCCACAAACCGCATCGGAAAGTTCAACGGAGCAAAAACAGAGGTGTTTGGTTGAGGTTCACTGGTCACCGCACCAGTTATCTCTCTTGTGGACTCGTTCAAGTCTGGAAAGAGGGTGAGCAGACCACGGGAAGAAGATGCTATGTTCTGGGTAGCTGAACGGGAAGAAGAGGCCATGTTTTGGTTTGCTGAGTGTTTTAGAGCAGCGTTGGTTACAGAATGTTTAAGAACGCAGATGTTCAGCGGTTTCAGACTGGTTTGCACAGCCTCCGCCTCAACCTTGGTTTAAATAGCCAGGGCAGATACGCGCATCGCGCGCCACTCGACGCCAGACGACAAAACGGGCGCGCAAGCCAAGGCAGGCACGGGCATCGCGCGTCGCTCGACGCCACAGTGTCGGGCACGTCTTTTGAGGTATTGGGCACGCCTTTTGATGACACGCCTTTTGATAGATTGGGCACGACTTTTGAGGGTGCGACTTTTTTACAACGATCCGTCATGACCCCATAAACTGTCTTCTACAACGGTCTGATACGACCACACAGTGTCTGCTACATCGGTCCGATATGACCCCGTAAACTGTCTTGATCCCCTTTATCCCTCACTTTATTTCAACCTCAAATAGGTTTCTATCTTCACACCTATTTGAGTTTGAGGGGGGGTTATACATATATCATGGTGAGCATGGTTACACACCATGCGAACCACCCAAGCCACCACATGGCGCACTCCCTAAGTCGCCTCCTTGGTGCACCACCACAAGCTTTTACATCGGTCTGGCATGACCCCATAAACTGTCCCGACATTTGATTCCGGTCAGCTTCTACAACGGTCCGGCATGACCCCGTAAACTGTCCCGACATTGATTCCGGTCAGCTTCTACATCGGTCCGGCATGACCCCATAAACTGTCCCGACATTGATTCCGGTTAGCTCCTACAACGGTCTGACACAACCATACAGTGTCTTCACCAACGGTTCGACACGACCATACAGTGTCTTCTATCCTATTTTATTTTCTTTTATCAATTTACTTTCCTGTTTTGTTACTCTCTCCAAACTCAAGTTGGTCCAAACTCAAGTTGGTTAGTACCTATCCTCCTTGAGTTTGAGGGGGGCTGTTAGTATATTATTGTATATTAGTGATTAGTATCTTTAGTATATTATGTACATCTAGTAGTGTTAGTCATAATTGTTAGTGTATCATTATGTCTAGCTTTCATAATGAGTGTTCCCCATTTGCTTTATGCTTTCGGTGCTAATTGGCACCCTATGTATCTTTTCCTCTCTATAAAAGAGAGTGCACATTTCCTTGTAATATACACAATAACATACATCAATCAATAACATCAATCATAATACATACAATTTCTCTCTATATCAATTTATCTTACATTACCCATGATGGAGACAAAAATGCAACATACATTATTCTCATAAATTAGTCTAATAACAAATTTCTCTCATTCAAAATCCTAACAATAATATAAGACAGATTATAGACTAGGGAGTAACCGAACCTCTTATGATCTCATTAATCAATGCCTCATCTATAGAAAGGATTAATATGACAAACAACAACCTCAATGGTAAAATATCTTTTAATATTGAAAGTCTTGAACATTTCATTGACATGATTGTAATTTGTATGGAACAATAATTGTGGAAGTGGGGAGCCTAGTTCCATCCCAGCTTGCACATTGATCTACAGTATCATGAAATTTTTCCTAACACGCCCTATGATCCACAAATTTGTGTTTCATGACTATTTTTCTTATACCGTTTCGAAATTGAATTAATGCTTCATTTGTTATTTGAATGAGAGTTATTATTTTAAATGTTAGTTTTTTTTTAATGTGAAATTGAATTAATGCTTCATTTGTTATTTGAATGAGAGTTATTATTTTAAATGTTAGTTTTATTATAGATATTTGAATGAGAGTTAATATTTTGTATGTTAGTTTTATTATAGGTATTTTTTTATTAATTGAATGAGAAACTAAATTCAATATTTTTTACAGGTATTCTTTTTAATTTAATCAAATA